CAGATATTACGCTACGGAGGATTCAAATAGCAGAAAGTTAAAGCATCTTTTCCCTGGTGCAATTTTGAAGAGTGTGTAAGCAGCAGAATTTATGGGATGCACTAATTTCGAGAATGCTCATCAATTGCTTCCTCTCGTTGCTTAACGCGAATAACATAAGAGAAAATACAAAATTGAATTCATGCAGAAAACTTGATACAAACAGCAGGGCCATAGGAAAAGGCCAAGAAGCTAATCGATAACGTAAGAAAGTCAAAACGCTGTGAGAACACCGGCTCCCTGCTAACATATTTCCCTTCCCAACTTTTGTTGCCTTAGACGTCTTTTCCTCGTTTTTGCCGCCTACAGCGTTTTAACTTTCTTACCTTATCGATTAGCCTTTTGGCCATTTCCTATGACCTTGCTGTTTGCATCGATTTTTCTATAGAATTCAATTTTGTAGTTTCTCTTACGTTATCCACGTTATGCAATGAGAGGAAGCAACTGATGAACACTCGAAATTAATGGATCCAATAAATTTTGCTGTTTAAAACAAAAGGAGGGTGGGTTGGTCGCCTGGAGGGTGAGACAGTAATCCACTAATACTGCCGACCTTAGCAATAACTGGCCAGTAAAGCTGGCTGTTAGGCTGCCCCATAAGGCTTGGACACTTTCAGCGCATTAAAAATGAAAAAAAACTGTCCTGCACAAAATCCCATTTGAAACAGCCGGCAAGAGAAACAAGATGGGATTAGTCTCGGGACAGAATCCGCGCATATGCAGCTCACGAAAGACTGCATGCAAATTGGCCACCATATTTATCCGAACCAAGTTCGGATAAGGGTGCACTAGTGAGAGCTTTCAAAAAAACAGAACAGAACGGCGCTCAATAATGCGCTGTTAGAAAAAATGATGGGGTTGGTAAGTCCTCGTTATCCTAAACTGAGGAGCACTTTGCAGACTGCAGGCGAAGTTAAACACCCATGATCAAGGAGACGACGGGCAGTGCTGGACGAAGTTTCGAAATTGCGCATTATGTGTTTGGCACAAAGCGGGCGGGGGTGGCAACTAAACTGGGCCTGACACGGAATGTGCCAGTCGAGGGCATCGGTACTGCACAGGCGCGTTCGCAAAGCAAGTTTAACGGGATAGGGGAAAAAACGCTAAGAAAAATGTGGGAGGTCGCGGCAATCGATCGTAAATAAATGCGGGCTGTCAGGCCTTATTCCCAGGGATAAAGAGACCTG